AGTCTCACTACTTAATTCACTGCCATTTAGGAGTTAAATCCCTTTGTTTATGCAGCCCTAAGTAGACCTCCATGCATGTGACTTGCACAGGCTTCCTAAACACTTCCTTTAAAGAGTCATCATATGTTTATACTTCCTATATTGTAAATTCTTTTTAATTTAAAATGTCTTATCTCCTGCTCTGTTAATAGTTTTCTAGACCCTGCAGGAGTCTCCTGTATGTAATTAAAGTTCAATTTACAGAGCAGGAGATAAACTTTTAAAAATAAATTACATCTAATTAAAAGTGAAACCATTTTGTTTTCATGCAGGCTGTGTGATTCACAGCCAGGGGAGGTGTGGATAGAACTGTCTAAACAGACCCAAACATGATTTAACTCCTAAAAAGCAGAGAATTGAGCAATGAGACTGCAGGTGCATGGTCGATGCACTATGACTGTTTCATTAAGCTAAAGTTGTTTTGGTGACTATAGTGTCCCCTTAAGCCATAAAAATGTATTTTCTTCCACACAGAATATCCTAGTGGTCTGGGTTTTTTTTGGGAGGGGGGGAGGGGTTCATCTTCAGGCTGGTTCTCAGGTCATTGCACTGCCGTGGGAGACTATGGTAAACAGCAAACCCTGACAGTTTATTTTGGGGTTTGTAGTTGAACATAGAGGGCTTTAAACCTACTAGTTCATCATTAGCAAGGCCTAATTGGATACCATACCTATTACAGGAAAATGGAGAGTGCCATCTGGGCACCAGCACACACTGCCATATCAACCTGGTTACCATGGCAAGCAAACAAACAAGTAGCCACTGACAGGTAAACTGTATCTCTAGTTCCACATGTAGTAGAGTGTTGCAGCAGGTAAGATCCAACACATTGCACCATTGGCTCTGCCTTCTAGCAATCTGCTTAGTTTATTATTTAATGTGCTAACATCATGGAAACTGTAATTTGATTTATTCAAAATCGCTTTTAGCTCATTATGAATGGTGGATTTAGCTAATTTTGCTAATTTCTTGAATGTTTTTACAAATTGCAAAACTAAATACCTACTTGCTAATAGGTAGACCGTACGAAGGAGAAAGGGATGTCCCCAAGATACCTTGGAGGGTGAGAGCAGACTCTTCCACCACCTACTATACCAAGTTACCAGATACCAGTAAACAGAGGGCTATGGTACGTTGTGCTCAAGTGAACAGACGTGCTAACAAAAACACATAATTGCCCAATGAGCATTACAGTGCACACAGGCTGCACCCGTGTAGAGACTAAACTGACTGAACACCAGTTACACAATTAAAATATATTAATACTTAGAAAGCAAAGAAGAAGACTACCCTACACCCTCCTCCCCTAGTAAAGGGGATAAGCCACCTATATGAATTGGAATTAAAAGACACTAAAATAAAAAGACTAAGGAGGGACACCAAAATGTCACTATTTAGTTAGTTTGTCCCTTTGGTTCATAAATAATTAGTATTAATTCTAAAGTGCATCTATCCTTAGGAAATACGGAAATGTGGTATCCACTTGGAAACTAAATCCCAATATAAGTTCTCTTAAACAAATATGTATCAGTGTGGCGGAACCAACCTCGCCACTATGCACTGGAGAAGCCTGGTTGCTCGCCTGCTCCCTTTAGTCTATGGCTCTGCAGTTCAGACCTGTTATTTTCCCTGCTGAAAGGTTTATTCGTGCCTTTCTGCCGGGGAGTTCGGTAGATTCAATCTACCGAACAAACTACCGAACGATGCACCACTGGAGTGTGCCGTCAATTGACCGCCCAGAAGCTGCGGTTAACCGCAGCTTAATTGATGAACGCTGGGTGACCCTGGGTGTTCGGCCCCCAAACTATGGAACTGAAAACGGACACTTATTGGCGCGAACACCGCTGAGCCGCCAGCCTCCTTACCTCTCCATTTGGTAGCGGAACCGAATGACTGTTCATTCGGTAGTTTAACCGGATGAACAGCATCACCCCAGATAGCTAAGCCACGGAGCCTATTCGTGTAACGAAAGACTATGTGAAAGACTTTGGCTCCATGGCGATTGAAATGTATGTATGTGATCTGAGCGCCATTCGGTATTAATGTGCGCTCAGATCTAAGCTATCTGGGGATATGTAGAATGTATATGTTTTATGTAATAAATGTAACTGTATGTAATTTTTTGTCTTTTACTGAAAATCTGTGTAATGGAGTTTTGCCTCTGTCCTTGGAGATAATTGGATTACTTCCCAATTATCTCCAGGACAGAGAGGAGGGATTGTGATGCATTGTGGGATGGTTGAAATGTGTAAGTCTGTGATTGGTCCTTTTACCCTTTGTGTCCCAGTCTCCCATCTGGTCCCCTAGGGGAGTGTCCACCAGGTGGGAGACCTGCATAAAAGCCAGGCAGTTAGCCCCAGTAAACGAGATTCTGCTTAACCCTCAAAACGAAGTGTCGTCTCGTCTTTGGGGGGGATTTACTGTATGCTGATAGAGACTGATTGCCAGGAGTGTAAGCCACTTGGGTGCTTTTCCTGTTCGTCTGCTAACAGCTATTCGTGTGTCTCCAGTTCGGCAGTTTGGAGTGCTACTTTGTATGCAGTTCGGGAGTTTCGAGTATTCCCTTGGTTGCAGTTCGGGAGTTGGTGAATTCGTGGGTTTGCAGTTCGGGAGATTGGTGCTTGCAGTAGCTGTCTGTACATCTGAAAAAGGGGAATATCGCCTAAACGGTTTTTAACCTCTTGTGTGCAAAACGGCCCGTTACAGTCTTTCCAGCCACCTATAAGGTGAGATGAACCTCCTGGGTAAAAGCATGTTATATTTTACTCAAAGCTATAAAAAGCACAAACATCTTTAAGGGACTACTTGGATACAAATAAATTAAACAGTGTAATAATGACTATTGAAAAAAGCAAGAGAATCACTTTCTATGTTAGCAGATGCGTATGGAGATGATATGCATATGGGAAAAGAGCTGTGGGGCCAGCAGATGGCAGTGTAAATACCGGTTGAAACAAATTAAAGGGACACTATAGTCACCAGAAAACTACAGCTTATTGGATTTGTTCTGGTGAGTAGAATCATTACCTTCAGGCTTTTTGCTGTAAACATGGTCTTTTCAGAGAAAATGCAGTGTTTACATTACAGCCTAGTGATAACTTCACTGGCCACTCCTCAGAAAGCTGTTAGTGATCCTTCCTGGGTCATGGCTGCCTAAAATGCATCCAAACATTCAGTATCTCCTCCCTCTGCATGCAGACACTGAACTTTCCTCATAGAGATTCATTGATTCAATTCATCTCTATGAGGAGATGCTGATTAGCCAGGGCTGTGTTTGAATCATGCTGGCTCTGCCCCTGATCTGCCTCTTTGTCAGTCTCAGCCAATCCTATGGGGAAGCACTGTGATTGGATCAGGCTACCCCTTCTGATGATGTCGGCAGACTGCTTGTTTTTCTGAGTCAAACAGCATGCCTAGTTACAGCTTCAGGCTTGAATACAGTTAGATTTTTCTATATTTATGGAGGCATGAGGGGCCCAGGGGGGCTAGATGGTGGTTTTAACACTGTAGGGTCAGGAATACATGTTTGTGTTCCTGACCCTATAGTGATCCTTTAAGTCTATAATGCTGCTCCTTATATTAGACTGAGAAAGACACAGTGACATTTATATGTTAGTAGTATATGGACTTACAAAAGTCAAAATAGCCTCATACTTTCCCCTGTTACTCCCTCTATACCACATGTATGAAGAGGCCCCTGCTTATTATCTAGACATCATGAGTAATTCTAACTCAAAAAAGGAAAAAAGACCAGAAAGGTTTCTATTCGATCAGATAAGTTTCTATTCGCCATTGTTTTCATGTAGGTTTATCCTAGACACACTTTTTAAAGTATGCTTTGTACTGATAAAAGTCCTTGTGTGGACTGAATCATTGGCACTTTCTTTAAAGATACTTTGTTAACAGTAAATGGCAACAGTGTTTCCTTCAACTGAAAAGTCCTATGAGTGCAGTACATTTTTTGCAACTGTATTTGAGCTGGATTAGCACTGGAGTAAGGTGATACACTGAATGGTCTGTGCAGTTCACTTGAGCGTCTCCACACCAAAGTCATCAAACAATGTTGTCTAAAATATATTTTGTATCTTGTAGAACTAAGATTATTATTCAATGGAACTAATGAGGCCTAGCCCAAAGCAATAAAAACAGCTCTAGACGATTATGCACATCCACAAAATGTTTGGGTAGGCTCTATAAATTCTGGTAAGTATCATTCTCCCAGCTTCTGCCACATCTAGATTCTTCCATCAGGCTTCCACTACCATGAGACTACTACTGCATTCACTTTTCACATCCTTCCAATACATTCTTTAGGTTTTACCAGTGACACAAGTTTCATTACTGGCATGCTGCTTTAAGACAGCCCACCCCCTGTCCTGGTTTCATACTGAATGCCCCTTCAAACATTTATGGTTTACCATTAAGACCATTATTGTTATTACATGTCCTGTCTGTTATCCATATACCACAGTGTGATGTCACTCAAACCCCAAGTGTCGTGAAATAAAACCAACTTTTTTTTTCTTCTAATTTTATGAAAAAAGTGCCAATTTTCTAATTTAGTTATAATATAGCTTGGCTATTTTATTCCAAATTTGCCAATTTGGTATATAATCCAGGGAGAGCAAACCAGTAAAAAGGGGACAGGATCAGCTAGTGAAAGGACAGGCACACGCCAGAATGGATGTGTCCCCTACACCAGG